TGAGCTTGTCTATTAGCCCGCTCAGCCTCCTCTTGCTGTATGCGATGAGCCTCCTGAGCTTGTCTATTGCGCCACTCAACTTCCTGCTGCTGTATTTCAAAAGCATACTGAGCCTCTCTATTTCTCCACCTAGCTTCCTGCTGCTGCAATTCCAGCTGAATCTGCTGTTGATGAAATGCCTCTTGTGCTTGTCTCTGAAGAAAGTCATTTCTAATCTGTTCATTTTCCATCTCTTCTTGCTGGAAATAGTGATGAAACTGGATGTTAAACTGATGGTAATCAGGTTGAGGCAGAGCATGCAAAGGTGGTGCAGGATTAGGTGCAAAGTAGCAGAGGGGATCATTAAAGTTCTGAGGTCCAACTGCATCCTCATAATGAATAGGGCCATATGCAGGAGCAGGAGGCACGGGAGCAGGTGGAGCAGGTTTATTAGGAATGTGAGGTACCTGTGGAGGCTGTATTCTAGCTGCCATAACCTCTGCCTGTGCCTGCTGTCTTATTTCATCTCTGTCCTGTTGCCAACGGAGATTCCACTGATGGCGCCTATCATTTTGAGCAGTATTCATTTGCTCATTTAAGTGAGCATTATAATCAACAGGAGGAAACTGATGAGCACGCTCCACATGCGCAATCACATTTCTTGGCAAGCCAGGATATCGCTCAACTGGTAGTGGTTGATGTGGGAAGTGTGTGGGAGGTTGTCATGCAAAAGGTCGTAGAACAGGGCCTGCTTGTGGCTCATTGGCTGGCACAAAATTTGGCTGTGGTACAGCAGGCGGAGGTCTGTCCTGATTATCCTGGGCAGCCCGACGGTGATTGCATCTGGTGGGAGATGTCATTTGAAGTCTGTTAATTCTATCTTGTTCACGTTGTGACTGGCAGTCACGTTCTGGTGTAATCTGTGGTTGTTGTCTAAATGTGCAGACATCAGCATCATGCACCTTGCAATGTAGCAATTTTATAGTCAACAACTCATGGAATAGGAAAATTTTGATCCATCTTTGTTATATTATAATATTCAAACTGTTGTTTGGCAAGTGTGAAAATTGCCTGAACTCATTGATAAGTCACTTCTATTCATTGTTGATAAGAAATGAAACCCACAAAAAGTGTATTACACTTTATTACACTTGGCTGCAGGGAAAGGCAATTTAACTCGAGAATTCTATTCAAAAGCAGCAGCCAAGTTGTGTAATGATTTGTGTAACCAAAAGTGTAATCAAATTTCTATTATTGCTTGTGTTATTCTCGATGCCTTTCCCATATAGTAGGAAAAGTCTGTTGTTTGTCCATTGCATTCCCACGGCACAGTAGGCGTGAGGATTACTGTCCACTATATCGTGTTTGGCAGTATTTTCGGACTTGTAGAAATTTCTCTCAGATTTTTCGTTCACACTCTTCTTACTTAGTCTTAGTCTTAGTCTTAGTCTTAGTCTTAGCGAGTCCACGTGAGAATTCCAAATTGAGGTTAAGCGAGCTAAGTGCAAACCACATGGCCTTTGGCGAAATACACAAGATAAATGAAATAAACGAAATACTTGAAATAGGCGCAAACCACGTGAGTGCCCGAACGTTCCCACAACCGTCGCACTTTACTTCTTAGATATTAAGAACTTGGCCCACTTAAGACTACATCAAGAGGGTGTACTCTGTTCTGTCCTGCATCATACTCATCATGTAGTGCCTGAGCAGCAGAGAGTAGGTTTTGAAGCCACATATTAGTTTGGGCTGATCCATGTTAGAGGCTTAGTTTGATCTCCAATTGGTTTGTGAAGATAGGGAGTATCATTATAGCTCTAAGAATCATCGCATAGACATATATCTGTATTTGTTGAAGTCATAGCACTGCATCAAGCCAGTTATTGATTCTGTTCCTCCTTTAGTCACTGTGTACTTCCTTTGAGAACTCAACATACTTTTCCCATGAACAACCACATTATCGACCATTGGTATTTGTCTGAACCGTTGACTGTGGTAGGATACTGAAAATCAGTGATTTTACTGTTTTCACATCCTAGTAAGACACTGATAGTAGCATTGCAAACTGAATACAAACTGAATACAGCAACTTGAAAGCTTATCTATACCTTTTCACTTGGAACATCTCTACATGACTAAGTACAACACAACTGAGCAGTGTCATCAAGCTCATTTAAGTTCTAAGAGAAAACATTATGCCAGGCAAGCTGGTCCATTCTTTGTATGCAACACTGAACACACATCAACAGGCATCGGTACCAAGAACATATCAAATCCTGCACTCACTGGCATCACTGAGGTGGAGCCTCAGATGTGGGCCAATCTTTTTTGAATGATTTATCAAAATTCAATCCATTATTTGTAGGAGACACTTGAACTCCTGAAAGATCTAGATGATATCTGGTTCAACACTAGTTATGAACCAGGCTCAAATCTGTATCAGTGATTGGAGTCTTAAGGATCAAACACCATCTGTGCTACTGACCGCTATGAAGAGTTGATTCTATATAGGCACTACAAAAGTTGTTACCTTAGAACTCAGAGGTGCAAGTGTAATTCATCCCAAAGAGACTGCCTGCAGAACTATCTCTTGATATACAAATGCAAGGGATGTCTTGTTAAGATCAAAGGAGAGAGAAAGGAAAAGTCACCTAAGGTGCATCCGATGTTCCGAGGATGTGTCTGATGTACTGAAGTACTTGTCTGATGCGAGTGAAGGTGGTCCAAAGTTGATAAATGAAGGTCTGAGGTTGCATGAAGCGTCCAATGAACAGCAAGGGTTCCAAGAGTGAAATATGGCAGGTACATCGAAGTATGTTGAAGTGTAAGACTTGTGAGAGTACCAAAGTACAACTGTGCAAAGTCTATTGAAAGAACTCAAAGCCAGCAAGATGCAAGATGTGAAATGGCAGTGGTCAAGCCAAACAATTGTTCCAAATGAACAAAAAGGATTGATTGCACAAAGCATGACTATCCAAAAGTGGCTCTACTAACTATAACTCATAGCAAGGGAAGTGAAGTGAAGTGTGAGTAGCTAGCAAGCCAGATTATATCCTACAGTGTGAAAGTCCAGAATTGTGTAGGCAAGAACAGTAGCGAGATAAGCTATCCAAAATATAATAAAACTTGAGGCAAGCCACTACACAGATATGCATGTAATAACGTGTGAGGTGTGCTGCTATACATACTATTCCAGTAAATGGGGATACCGACATAATAGGTCCTATGATATGTTCAATAACAAATGAACAAAGTGGAAAACACACCAGTGAAGTCAAATGGACATGGACGGGACATGGTATGGTGGATTGCAAGTGAAAACAGGCTTTGGAACAGATGGACAACCTTCAGATGACTCAGAAGAACACATGGAGCTTTCAGAAGGTAAAAGGAGTGTCGAGAAGTGCAATGTGAGATATCTGTGAGATTGGCAGGATACGTGCCCAGTGCCAACCTGAGTGCTACACCAATGTAGTGATACAACTTTGGCTGAGCACAACACACAGTAAGCACTCAGCCAAATATAATAGTTGTGGTCTTGCACAGCCTAGTCTGCTATACTTGTGAGACAAGTGTATTTGACCTGAGGGATTTGCTGTTTGATATTTTTAGAATAATTAGTTATATGAAAAGGAAGATAGTCCAAGCATGGGAAACAAAGTCCGAAGGTATAATTATGAGTCCAATGTCAAAATGTCGGATCCGATGTTTTCAGGTTAGTGGGCTACCTTGGGTTGCATTGGGTTAGTGTCGGGAATGTAGTGGGTGTCAGAGATAGTGAATGTCAGATGTTTCAAAGTATTTCAGATAAAGAAAGGATAATATTGCAGAATTCAGCTCAGAACCACTAAGTATCAGATGACCTCCTCCTACTTGGAGGTAGAAAGGTAAGTAAAGTAATAGGTAGGAGGTATGAGAAATATATAGTGTCTATGTAGAATTTCAGAGTGCTATAGGCAAAGGTAGTAGCGATCATTTTCGTGTCTAATGTCCTATGTAATAAGACATGTGGTACTGCAGACATGTAATCACGTGGTCTACAATGTTAGCGACATGAAAATGAATAACTGTGCACCTAGTGGGGATAGATATGACAGGACATGACATAGGGAGGATGTTTTCATCGGGTTAGCATCGGGTTAGTTTCGGATTACATTGGATTAGCATTGGATTACATCAGATTAGTGTCAGGTTAGCGGATAAACATCGGATTGAGTGGGTAAGTGTCGTATAACATTGGAAAGTAATTCGTGTGCGATGGGTGTTTGACATGCATTAGAAAATAGCAAAGTATGAGCCTAGCATAAGCTTGAGTGCTGCACTGCAAAGGATGGAATTCACTGAAGCCAGAATATAAGAATGATGTTCATGAAGCACGCAAACTCTTGGAGAAAGCACACAACTTATCTGTGTTGGCTGGGAGCTTAGAGGGACCTTATACTGAGAAACTACAAGTGGGGGTATGCTCAGTGACTTGCATCTTACAGTTTCACATCCAGGCATATGAGGAAATGATCCATAAAATGGACTTATGTATGGATTCATACTTTGAAGCTCTTCATAAGGGGACACTCAATTGGCAATTAGCATTGGCAGGTGCTTAGTCTATTGCACTAGTACTTTGTATCTAGGTTGTTGAACATCACATGATCTCAGCACTGTATGCTTAATGTCAATATTATGTCTTCAACATTGTAGTCCTTATGAGAAAAAGACACTGGGAAATCGACAAGTTTATGTGTGACTGGCATGTTCTTAATTCAAAACAAAACATCAAGCATCTCAGTCACAAATGCAATACATGACTCCTACCACTGGAACTGAGGATACCAAAAAGTCAACTCACAAACATCAATCTTACACTGTGAAAGGACCAGCATAGGTCTCAACTCAGATGGAGTACTTTGGTGCTACAAGAGGTTCTCTTACTATATATGACATCACAATCAACTACTTTTAATACTTCTAACACTATCACCTTTAATTATGAAGATCTCCTGAACTCTAATGTGGACCACAATTTAGCTGTCTACAATAAACACCTGGCTAAAACATCATTCGAAGTCAATCTTTCATGATGCAATTGACATTTAGGAGTGAGTGAAGAAGATTAGTCTCAGATGAACTTACTCACATGTTCTTTGAAGGATCACCCTTTGTTGACTTGGATGGAGGAATAGGATTATTTTCTTTTAGAACTCCTTTATCTAGAGGGTCATGGGGATTTCATACTTCAGTAAACATGCCAAGGTTCTGCAGGATGCATGAATGCCCCTGAATTTTGATGTGAGGATTGTCTTGGTACTGAGCTCTACTGTAAGGCCTGCATGGTTGGAAGGCATGTAGAAAATTTAACTCACAGAGTTGAGGTAACAAAAGGCCCTTGAACTTGTACCACCACCTGCTACAGTTCTCCCATGCTAGAAAAAAGCACCAAGAACGAGTCAAAAAAAACTTTTAGGGTCTCCTCCCTAGCCTCCTGATGAAAGTAAAAAAGAAAAAGACAACAAAACAAATGTCAATCACACAAATGCGTACTACGCTGTCAAAAGACAAAACATCCAAGTTACAAACCATACTGATCACAAAAATGAGAAAACAGACACACACCGCCCACCCATCAAACAACCAGAAAATATGTCAGGAAAACTTGGGAATACGCCTTAAAGATGTAAAGATAAGCAACCTAAAATGAAAAACACCCTATACACATAATAAAAAACGAGTACTAACACCTAAAAGACTCAGAACCACACCCTCTGAGATCCCCGCACATAGTATTAAGACCAGAAATTGAAGACATGACACCATAATACATCCAACACAGCTGCTCCAATAACAATAACAACTGTCTACCTTGGCCATGAAAAACATGCCTCCGTCCCCCCCCCATGCTTCGCTTCATCATAACTTGTGCAAAGAAACCACAGTATAAAACCCTCCCATCCACAGAAAAGATAAACTTGTCCTCCTCTACAGACATGAAAGAACCTTCCAGCATCAAAAGCGCTAGCATCGCTGCTTGTCCCTCACCATTAGGTTCTCACCATACCTCTACTAGAGTGTCCTGCTCAGGACCACAATTCTTCCCCAAAAATATCCTGGAAAACAAAGGAGACTCAGACATAAATGCAGAGACCACCCAACCACCTGCCATGCCCACAACCTCTCCCTCACAACCTCCATCCATCTCGCCGCCTCTCCCCAACCCGAGGGCCATCTGCAAACCCTCTACCAATAACTCTGGGACTGCCCCAGACACCTTTCCTATTCTAGGTGCTGCTGAACCAATCCATGCACCGGAGAACAACGAGGACTCACAAATGGAAACCCCACCACCGAACTCCCCACTAGACCAACAGCCCTTGGTACCCTCGCAATCGAGGAAATGAACTTGTGTGCCCATATTGCTATGACAGAATATAACCGCTCTATAATTAAGAGCAGCACCCTGAACGCAACCATCCTCTTGCCCTAATTCACCCCAATCCCAAATGGAAGTTTCCCTAGCATCCATCTTGCACATGCTGCCCAACTCTTTGACTACCAAGCGCCCAAAGTCATCAACACTTGGCTTAAAGTCCCAAACCCTAAGATCCTCTTCCGAATCTTTGATTATGATGGAAAAAACCCAAGCATTGTCACACTCATCCTAGTCAAACACACCCGCAAAGCCTTTATACAGATCAGAGAGTCCCTCAGCCAGGACCTCCAAGATGTTAAAATCTCCCTGCCCTGCCCAGAAGCAGGGAAGGAGGAAAAGGGCTACCTCCTGAGTTTCCTAGCATATAACATCATTTCAGATGTCTTATCTCACTACTGGTTTCGCCTATGCAGTTTCCAGACTTTCATGCTGTAGGATATAATCTGCCTCACTAGCTACTCGCACTTCACTTCACTTTCCCTGCTACGAGTCATAGTTAGTAGAGTCACTTTCGGATAGTCGTACTTCGTGCAATCGATCTTTGTTCATTTGGAATGATTGCTTGGCCTGACCGCTGCCATTTCGCTACTCACTGTCTCTAAGTTCTTTCTGATAGACTTTGCTTAGTTTTACTTCACGAGTCTTGTACTTCAATACACCCGCCATACTTCTCTCAGAACACTCGCTGTTCATCGGAAGCTCTTCGGGAGCTCTGCGCGACCTCAGACCTTCATTTCTTGATGTTGGACCACTTTCGGACCACTTCAGACGCATCCTCAGAACATCGAGCGTGCTCTTGGTAACTTTCCTCTCTCTCATCCTCGATCTTAACAAGATATCCCTTGCATTATATCAAGGAGTATTTCTATAGGCAGTCTCTTTGGGATGAGCATATCACTCGCACATTGAGTTCTGAAGGTAACACTTTGTAGAGCCCACACAGAATCAACTCTTTACACTGAGCACCAGCTCGACTCGAAAATGCTCAAGCAATAGAAGCCCTAAGAAACATGAGATCAGCGCTCAACGTACAAGACTCGTGGAGACACTCCTACCCAAACAACAGACTGTTCACATACCACAGCCATAACAATAAGCTAGCCCGCCTGGATAGAATATACATGAACTCATCAATATACGAAAGCCTATCCTCATGGGAAGCAGGACCAACATCAATAATAACCGACCATAAGTTAGTTGCAGTCCGTTACGCACCCCCAAACACACCTTTCACAGGGAAAGGAAGATGGACCTGGCCACTAGACCTTTTACATGACAAAGAACTACAAAAGAAAATACATGAGTCCGGAATAAAAACACAAGAAAAGATAAAAGAAATACGCACAAACCGAAACGAAACAATCAACCCTCAGACAACATGGGAAGACTTCAAGACACATATAACACAACTAACAAAACAAGAAGCAAAAAAAACACCTAGTCAAAATCAACACAAGAATCAACCAACTAAATAAAAACTTATGACGATTCAACAAAAACCCAAATGAACTAGACACAAATGAAGACCAAAGAAGACATACAATCTTCCTGGAAAGCGAGATAAACCACCTAGAAAAGAAGAAATATAAAAACAACCAAATCAAAGCACAAGCACAATGGTCAAAAAACAGAGAAAGAATAGGAAAATACTGGTCTAAGATAAACAAACCAAAAAAACCAAGGGACATAATACATGCACTAAGAGACCCAAACACAAACAAACTCATAAACAGATCAGACCAGATGGCGGAGATCGCGAAAACACACCATGAAAACTTGCAAAAAGACCCTATCCCACCAATAATAAGAAGAATGGCGAGACATGAAATACTTCAAAACATACCATCAGAACAGAAACAACCAAAAAACTCTCCACTCAACACCCATATTAATGAATCCCACATCCTCGATGCTCTATACTCTTCAAAAAGCAGAAGCATGACCGGAATAGACAGAATTTCATACGAATTCTGGAAAACAATGCATGAAAAAAATCTGGAAGACATAAGAAATGACGAACCTAACTTCGACATAATAAAAACACTCACGAAAGTTATAAACAATATCCAAGAACACGGAATTGACACTAAAACAAAATTCTCGTTAGGATGGATGTGTCCAATCTTTAAAAAAAAGAACACACCAAGATAGAAAACTACTGCCCAATAACATTACTTAACACTGACTACAAACTCCTAACCAAAGCGTTAGCAATGCAAATAGCCAAAGAAATATCAAAAATGATCCACACGGATTCATTCCAAAAAGATCTATCTTCAACCCAATAAGATTAGCACAAACAATGATAGAATATGCCGACATAATGGAAGAAGACGGAGCCATCATAGCTCTAGACCAAGAAAAAGTATATGACAAGATAAACCATGAATACCTATTAAAAACCCTAGAAAAATTCAACATTCCCCCAATCTTCATCAACACGGTAAAAGCACTATACAAAAATGCCCAAACCCAAGTAGTAATAAACGGAGTTTTCAGCTCACCTTTCAATGTAACATGAGGCATCCAACAAGGTGACCCACTATCCTGCCTCCTTTTCGATCTAGCAATAGAACCATTAGTGTGTGCACTAAGAAACAACAAAAACATACAAGGTTTCAAAATTCCAGGGTAATCAACCAACTAATAGTAAACTTATATGTGGATGACACAACAATATTCCTAAAGAAAGAAGATCGATTTGCCGACCTAGAAAACACCCTGAAAAAATGGTGTAACACCTCAGGAGCTAAATTCAATACCGAAAAACTGAAATAATCCCAATAGGCTCAAAAGAACATAGAAACAGAGTACTCACATCGAGAAAACTTCACCCAGATGATACCCCAATAAACGAAGATATCAAAATAACAAAAGATGGATGCCCAATAAGATCACTAGGTGCCTGGATAGGTAATGGAGTAAATAATGCGACTCCATGGGAACCAATACTCAACAAGATAAAACTTACATTAGACCACTGGAACAAAGGACACCTGACACTTGATGGGAAACAACTCATAACACAAATGGTAGCTGGAGGAATGTCGCAATTCCTAACCAAAGCCCAAGGGATGCCAAAAGAAATCAAAAAAGCTTTAATCAACATAATTAAAAACTTTATATGGGAAAATGCACGCTCACCACCAATAAGCCTAGAACATCTATATCACCCAAAAAAAGAAGGAGGAATAGACTTATTAGACATAAAAACCAGAAACATAGTGATCAAAGTTACCTGGCTAAAATCGTTCCTCGACCTCTCACCCAGTAGACCAGCATGGGCATTTGTCACAGATGCACTAATAAACAACCAATGACAGGATCAAATCAAATGATGATATAAACACATTCTTACAAACCTGGAACCCACCTACACAAGGTCCCAAATCAAAAGGAATCCCACAAAACATAAGAAGAATGCTAAAGACAGCGAAAACACTCAATCTTAGCTTTGTGCCTCCAAAACTATCAAGAAACCTTAAATTACAACTACCCACCTGGTTTCATCTCGGAGCTCCCCCAAAAATATACAACAAATCAAAGGATAAATGCCTTCAAACAAACCATGAAAAAAACACAATCAAAGACTTGCTAATAACAAGTAAAAGAATACACACCAACATGACAACACCAAAACACTCGCCCAGGAAAAACTGCACATGCCAGACATGCAAACAGACAGGAATAACAGCTGCATGAACCTGCACAAATGTGCAACATTAGCAAACATGATACTAAACAAACTATCCCCAAAACTAAACCCACTAACAAAAACAAATGTAGATGATCTAACATTAACTCACCATCAAAAAGAAAAAAACAATCAAACCCTCATAACGATGAAAGGCAAAATAACCTTTGACCCATCCCTAACAATAAGAACATATCTGTCGGACTGCTTCAGAATCTTCAGAAACGACAAAAACACAAACACAACACCCGCCCTTAGGTTAGAAAAACCAACTAGAGGACTAAACCTCGTTGAAGATAAAATAATGATTTTCACAGATGGATCGTGCCTAAACAACGGTAAAGCTGACGCAAAATGCAGAAGTGGAATATGGATAGCAGAAAACCACAAGAAAAACAAAGCAATAAGAGTACCAGGTCAATCACAATCAAACCAAATAGGAGAACTCACCACAATACTAGTAGCCTTACAAAACACAGACCCCTTCATCCCAATTAATTTTAAAACAGACTCAAAATATGACATCAAAGGACTCACAAAGAACCTAAAAACCTGGGAAGACAACAGCTGGACAAACATTGAAAATGCAGACACCTTTAAAGCCACCGCATATCAACTAAGAAAAAGATCAGCGCAAACGACATTCAAATGGATAAAAGGACACTCAGGCAACAAAGGAAATGAAGCCACAGACTCCCTGGCAAAGAAAGGAGCTGAAAAAGAAACATACGACCAAATTGACCTAAAAATACCAATCGAATTCGACATACAAGGAGCAAAACTCTCTAAAATGACACAAACATTAGTATACCAAAACCTCAAAACTATTCAAAAATGGAACAGCAAAGAACAACAAAAAGAAACCTCGAAATAAAAAGATACACTATACAAGAAATTTCAATGAACCTAGAATCAGATAAAACAATCTGGAAAGATTGCAGAAGAAAAGACATACAACGGCCAATACAGCAATTCCTGTTCAAAGCATTACACAGTGTAGAGATACAACAATTGCTGGACACTACACAAAGTAAGTAGCCAGCAATATAAAAAGTGTTGTGGTCATGTACAGCCTAGTCTGCTATACTTGCAAGACAAGTGTGTTCAACCCAAGGGGTTTGCTGTATGGTATTAGAATAATCAGTTATAACAAAAGGAAGATAGTCCAAAGTGCAGGAAACCAAGTCCGAAGGTATAATTACGAGTCCAATGTCAAAAACGTCGGGTCCGATGTTTTAGGGTTTCGGGATAGCGGGTTTGCCTTGGGTTGCATCGGGTTAGTGTCGGGTTTGCCTCGGGAATATAGAGAATGTCGGAGATAGCGAATGGTGGGTTACTGTCAGATGTTTCGGATAAAGAAAGGATGATATTGCGGAATCCAACTAAGAACTATGAATATCGGATGACCTCCTCCTACTTGGAGGTAGAAAGGTAAGTAAATAGGTAGGAGGTATGCAAAATATATAGTATCTATGTAGAATTTCGGAGTGCTATAGGCGAAAGTAGTAGCACTGATTTTTGGGTCCAATGGCCTATGTAATAAGACACAATGTACTGCGGACATGTAATAACATGTTCTACAGTGTTAGCGACGTGAAAACTGATAACTGTGCACCTAGTGGGGATAGATATGACAGGACAAGACATAGGGAGGACAAGTGCATGGGAAAATATCGGGTCCGTTGAGTCTGATGCACGGGAAACGTCAGGTTCGTCGGATAAGCGTCGGGTTTAGCAGATAATCATCAGATTGAGCGGGTGAGTGTCGGATAACATCGGGAAGTGATTCGTGTGCAATTGGTGTTTGACATGTATTGGGAATTAGCTAAATACGAGCCTAGCGCGAGCTTGAGTGCTACAACAGCACACATAAAATAGGTGACTTCTGGTCAAACATACCTCAATATGAACAAAGAGCAAAATGCGCCATCTGTCACGATGAAATAGAATCTATGGCATATATATTAACAACATGCCACTCAAATGAAAGAAGAAAAATCTGGAAACTAACAAAAGATATATGGCCAAGAAATACGGCCCATGGCCAAGAATAACAATTGGCACAATACTGGGATGCGGATCAATCCATATCAAAAAACAAAACAACAATAACAATGAAAACATCACACCAACAAACAACAACGTACCAAACTTAAAACACATACCAGGCACCTCAAGACTCTTCTGAATTTTAATATCAGAATCTGCACATCTAATATGGGCCATTAGATGCGAAAGAGTAATAGGAAATAAAAACATCTCGAATAAAACAATCGAAACAAGATGGGCAAACAAATTAAACATGAGAATAACAATTGATAGAATGATCGCTAACAAAATAGACAAAAACACATGTAAACTAGTCAAAACAACATGGTCAGAAGTAATATCACCAACAACGCATATTCCTGAAAATTGGGTAACAAACCAAGAGGTTTTAGTGGGTATTAAACCACCCAGGCCCTCCACCGAACGAGGTCACCAGGTGTATTAAAGTCCCACACATCCCATACAACACAAAGAGTGTGTAAAGGCATTTTTCCTCAGACCAGTGTTTTCTAAATGGTCACCGATATAGTGTGTTTAGTAGAACTAGATTAGTCAGTGGCTACTAAACTAAGTGCTTGTCTAGAAAAAAAAGAATTGAGGTAAATGTGAATGAGCAGTGTGCACTACTTTGCCCTGATTATCATGCACAGTACTGGAATGGCCAACATTTTGAAGACACTAACCTGTGAGATCTTGGACTGTGACTTCAGCTTGGACACCCCCTTGAAGAATGTTGCTCTAATCCATTATTAATTCATAATGACTTTGCCATCCTCAATATTAATGGAGTACACAATGTTATACTCTGCTTCTGTGAATGTCAAACAGCTCAATCTCATACTACACAAGTCCTTTACATGCATTGGTTCCCAGCTACTACACTGGAACCAAAGACTGCCACAACATTTCAACTTTTCCACAACTTCCATATACTTTCCTTTGAATTGAAAGCCTCCACTTTTGAGTACTGGCAAACACTTGCACACTTGACTAATAACACAGGCCTTAACCCACCAAAAGTAAGTTCTCAATTTAATCTAATTTATTCATTCCTAATAGTTGCTTAAAGGATCGCTATAATGCTCCCTTATGGATGGTGAAGGAATGGTGAAACCTTACTCTACTCAAATATTTAGGATGAGGCTATGATTCTGGTAGGGTTGATGTAATGCAACTTGGTGCATGTGCGGTACTATATCCTGCTTGCCCTCAGCTGGACAAGAATCTTCCAGATGGCTGAGAAGATACACCATCTGAGGATAGGTATATCATATGTTGGTCCATTCTGTATACCTTATTCACACATGAAATAATCTAGATGGAAATATTCCTTGTTCTTGCAATAGATGCTAACTTCTGCCTTACACACAAAAATAGATCATCTAACAAGGCTGACCCTAGTCTTAATAAAGGCTGGGCATACTTTGTCAAAGAGAACACATTCAAAAAATTTCTCCATGACACTGGCAAGCAGCCACAAGAGGTATGGAACATTTATCTGTACCCTCCACCCTTACTGCACCCTCAATTACCTAGTCCTGCTAGTGCATGCCTGCAAAACATGCCAGAGATAAAACTACAATAACAAAACCCACTCATGGATCCAGTTTAAACCTTTTGCATATCCTAGCAGACACTCAGATGCACCTCAATAATGAACAACCTCATGAGCTAATGGCAAATGCTTTTAATCTACATGAGGGGTTCAGTTCATAATATGTGTCTCTCTCAACATTCATCAAACACTTATGCTAGTCCATCAAGCACACATGCTAGTTATGCACTCTTTAATCCTGCTCATGATATTCTCTACACTCACACTGGTCCATCAAATGTTTATGCCAGTCCATCAAGTGCTGTCTTGTTACTTAAGGGTCTTATATAAAAGTTGTATATAATAACAACATAATTATACATGGTGAAAACTTCTTGCCAGTCCTTAAGTTCACAGTCTCTGACTTTTCTACTTTATAGGAGGTAATATGACGAGTTCTTGAGAGGATTTAGTTTGTTGTTCTCTTCTTGTATAGTCTTATGCAAAGTATAGTGGAATGTTCTGTATTCTGAATAATTTCATTAGATTTGTTTTAGCCTAGTAGGCCATGTTTCAACCTATAAAAGTCTGTTTCAAATTTGACATCCTTAGATTTGTGTCTCACTTTCCATTAAAAGAGAGAGTCTCATGTATATATAGTCAACCCCTGTAAGGTAGTATATAACTTTTAGAATAGAATAATGATGTGTTCTAGTCTTACTTCAAGGCACATTGTCTGCACTTTTATTCTTACATACTCTCACACAGTTTGAGAGAAGAATGAAAAATAGGAAGCTATATTTCATAGGTGAAAATGAGGTCCTTTTATACCTTTTGGAATCTTCTTACTAAACATGATTCTGTCAGATGAATTGATAAAAATGTGGCTTACAAACCAAGTGATAAATCAGCTTTTACTAATATACATTATAAATACTATGTAATTTTATAAAGAAATTACAAAGCATGACAGAAAGGTGCTAACTCTTCTCAGGGATTGGTCATGCAGAAGCTGACAAACCAAGCCTTTAGGTGAGCTAAATCATCCTTCTTACTAACTATATTATAAACAAAGTTTAGTGTCTTACAAAGAACTTACAAAGCATGACTAACTATGACTGAACATGTTGAGTCATATTTAGATATTGTTACAAAGCATGATGAATTATAACTAAACATGTTGAGTCAGCTTAAATAATGTTATAAACCAGAATATTTTCCAGTCACATAATGTGCTGAAAATAAAATCTGGTAGCTGAAAGAAGCCAAATAAAAATAAATAGTCAGAAATAAATAAAGATACAAAACTTGGTGACTGAAAGAAGCCAAATAGAAATAAACAATTAGAAATAAACAGAAGGTCACATGCTTAATACAAATACAAGACAATGAATTAAAGGAAAAATAGAGAGTTAGACAGTCTCTTATATTTTCCTTATCACTCTTTATATATAACTAATATAGACATACCATGCATGACAGCATGCAGGCTGATTATGCACCCTTCACCTCTGCTTACCTCAACACTCACATTAGTCGAACATTATTGAGTACTCACACTGATCTATCAAATGCTCTCACTGACTTATCAAGCACTTATATTTATCTATTGAGCACTGCTGATACATTCTTCAACCCTCAATATAATTCACCTCATGGGCTTTTAGGCTTTAATTATGAAGACTATGGTGAGTTGTTTGAACATCAATATAACATTGTAGCTAATGAATCACACAGAATCATATAGTCCCAGGCATCTTAATGATCTGTCCTATTCCAGTAGTATACAGGCCCCCAATCTGCATCACATATAACTTCCACAATTGTTTGACAACAATGAGGATGAACCGATAAAGCCTCAATATGGTCCTCTCTCCATCATGATGGGTGAAATATCACAATTGCATATCATACATGTAAGTAGTTTTAATTATCTTTCACATCCTTCACTGAAATTCTATATTATGGATAGCAGGATCCACTCATTATCTAACACATGACAACATACTTGAAAATTACCTGTAACCCTATATATTGCTCATGAGACCATTATTTCTGCAACAACACAGACAACTGTAAGCCTTGCAGGAGCACTGGACGACAACAACTATTATTTCTAGCTACAAAACCAATGCACAAACAGATTTTCAAGTGTTCAAAAAAACTTGTAATAGACATTGTGTTTATGGAAGATGTGATAGCTTTGTACTGCCAACAAAAAATAAATCATTAAGTCTATCATTTAAAATACCACACCCAAGATTCCAGGCCTTTGTGATATATTGACTTAGAGTCTGTTAATTGTTTTTTAACTAATTGACTAATAGGAATATCCTGCTGGAAGAATTAAAACAATAATCCTATAAAAATCTGGTGGGCAGTTGTTGTTATGTGTACAGTACTTATGATACTTACTTGAGAAGACATGTCAGTAATGGCCTGTAAATTTTTCCCTCTGTAGAGTAGCCTGATTTCCTCTAAGGCCTTTTGTACTGATCATGTGAGACATCTGGCTCAAGAGAACAAGTTTATGCACAAATATTCATTCAATGTGGTACTTTTTTTCTCACTTCAAATCACATACTGACTTGTCAATAGGATGGAACACTGTCAATTCACTTGAAGTTCAAAAACTCATTCATTCTTTACCTTGTCCAAAAACTGGTATAGAACATATACTTCCAACTGAACAATTTGCTCCTCTTGCCACATAAAAAGTTGCACTTCATAATAGGAGCAGCTGGTATAATTACAAAACATGTACTGTTGAAACAGGGACACATGATACTTACTGCATCTAAGTTATCCTCAGATGCAAATTCTTCTACCTTTCAGATGATCTGCTTGGACATAGATAGTCTTACTAATGAGAAGAAAGCTGATTTGGACAAGTAGAAGGATCATATGGTCATTTATAGGATTTTTCAACAGCACATTAGGAATGAGCTCTTATATTTTGACTTGAGCTCCACAAACTTAGACCATGGCTCAGATGCTGATGCATGACATGTATATTATAAACTATAATACTTGTATTATCCAGTATATTTCTTTTTCATATATATATATTTTGAAAATGCAATTCTTTTTCCTTTGCAAAGTTAATTATATTTGACTATCCCACTTACTTAAGCACATCTGGTTGAACATCTGTCTCAATTAAACTAAGATGAGTACTTATGAACACTGTCCTAAGCTACACCTAATGTAGCATATTCAGAACATGTTTTAAAGCTTGTATCAACTGACTTGAGTTTTTTAAATATAGTGCAGGCTTTTTTCCTGCCACCTCCAGCCATGTCATCTGTCCCATATAATACAATCTATCCTGACCCTGGCCCCATACCTATTTCTATCACAGAGTCCCAGCTTTCTAGAAGTATTGCAAAACTAAGTCCCTATAAGGCTCCCAGACCAGATAGAATCTGTAACATCATATTCATCTGTTGTGCTGCTTTACTTGAATCATATCTGCTTCACCTTCTTAGGGCCACATTCACACTCAAGACTTTTTTGAAAGAAAACAAATTAATTTTATTGTCCTTTAAGGTCGAAGACCCTATGTAGAACATAGCCCTGTTCATGGAGAGCTTACTCCTGCTTGAACTATTGTATGTATAGGTGCTGGCATGATATCAATGGAAATAAAGTACTTTGCCAGCATAATATTTGGCAATCACTCAAGCCTTACTACCCTCCTTAGCATGATTTTACAACAGTTGTCCTGCAGAAGTCAAGCAAGCTCAACTATACTGTCACAAAAGCTTATCAATCAATCACCCTTCTAAATACAACTTGCTAATGGCAGTAGTCACCTATCAAATGACTTACCTCCTCAAATATCCTAACCTGCTCTTTAGTACCTACTTTGTGGAATGCCCTAGAAAGCAACTATCAAGGACACATGGCAGCAAGAGAAAGTAGTTTTAGCTTTGTTCTTAGATATTGAGGGTGCATTCCTGAATGCAGTTACTAACCTGCTTCTGTACAACATGAGATTATGGTGCATACCTAAATCTCCTGTAGGCTTCACTGAACATTTACTGATAGGTCAACACACACAGCTCAAGTTCAATGGTTATCTCTTGGAATGAATCTGACTCTGACCTCATAGATATAGCATTAGGGTGTGGCAAGAAAGAATAAACCCTGGCCTTTGTTGATGACACCCATGTGTGTGAGGAATAATAGCTAGATGAGAAGGGGTGAAAGGAGAAGAAATAGTAAAGTGGGGTAAAAACTCAAATAGACCTCTGGATGCGAGTGTAGATTTGGCCCAAGGGGATTGCTACTGAGAACAATTCCTCTAAGTAAAAATATGAGGGGAAACTTAGTGATTAGTAAGAGTAACTGAGAGTAGAGGGAATGCAAACATTAGCACCAATGCAAAGTGAGCGTGAGCAAACTGCTGAAAGGCATAATGTGCTGCAAGTGCGAGTGAGCTGCCAAAAGTGTGATGCAACATGAAGCCATGCGGCCAAAATACAACCAAGCACAGAAGCGCACAATTGGGCTGAAGAGTTAATATGAAAAGTCATGAATGCTAAGGTGAGACAGTGCAATGATAACAGAGAGGACATCTGACGATATGCAGGTGTATGAGGGTGAATGTTAGGGCCGCCAATGAAGATGTGCACACAGAAGTATGCTGAAGGTTTTAGATTTTAAATTGAATTTATTAATGCATGAAAACAGATGATAGATTCCTTCCTGGGAGATAGATGATACATAAAAATTGTAAGTACAAGTATATATGAGAGCATGCCAAAGTGCTATTCAGAGCCAAGTAGGTAGCAATAATATGTAAGTGGGGTCCATAACGCAAGTAATGAGAATATAAAGGAAATAGCTTCGGGAATATGATCAGTCTAATATGAATTGAGTAAAAATATGCACCAATGAATGAGCAGAGGAAGGACATGCAATGGTGTAGCACTCAAGCTTGCGCTAGGCTCGTATTCAGCTATTTTCCCATGCATGTCACACACATGAATCACTTCCCAATGTTATCCGACACTCATCTGCCTAATCCGATGTTTATCCACCAAACCCAATGCTAGTCTGACGAACCCGACGCTAGTCCAATGAACCCGATGTTTCCCGCGCATCGGACCTGATATTTTCCCATGCACTTGTCCTCCCTATGTCTTGTCCTGTCATATCTATCCCCACTAGGTGCGCAGTTACTTGTTTTCACATTGCTAACATTGTAGAACATGTTATTACATGTCCGCAGTACATTGTGTCTTATTACATAGGACATCGAACCCGAAAATCAGCGCTACTACTTTCACTTATAGCACTCTGAAATTCTACATAGACACTATATATTTTGCATACCTCCTACCTATTTTACTTACCTTTCTACCTCTGAGTAGGAGGAGGTCATGTGATATTTAGTAGTTCTTAGCTGAATTCCGCAATATCATCCTTTCTTTATCCGAAACATCTGACAGTAACCCGCTGTTCGCTATCCCTGACACTATATTCCCGAGGCAAACCCAACACTAACCCGATGCAACCCAAGGCAAACCCACTAACCCAAAACCCAAAAACATCGGACCCGATATTTTTGACATTGGACTCATAATTATACCTTCAGACTTTGTTTCCCACACTTCGGACTATCTTCCTTTTCATATAACTAATCATTCTAATACCTTACAGCTAACCCCTCGGGTTGAACACACTTGTCTTGCAAGTATAGCAGACTAGGCTGTACACGACCACAACATTTTTATATTGCTGGCTACTTACTTTGTGTAGTGCCCAGCAATTGTTGTATCTCTACAATGAAGCTGAAGAAAAGTCGACATGCATGCATGAGCCATGGCCATCAGCTGATAACAGAATGATTGCATGCCACATTAGCAATAGCACATGCAATGCAAGGACCTAAGGGACACTGCAAAAATAGCCTCTACAAGGTCACAAGGACTCCAAGTCCTACACCACATTCATCACTATAGGGACATCTTTCCAGGAAATCCACACTATCCTCAAACACATGCTAGAAAGGCTAGGGAAGCATATGAATGGGCTAGCAACCACAACTTAAAGTTCGAAACCTTCAAATTTGTATTAGTACACTTTTCCATGAACACTACTAAGAAACACCTATTTCTCATTACTTGTAGCACCACAATCACCCCCACTGCGACTCACTACTTCTTGGGAGTCATCATAGATTAGGCACTATGTTGACAAGAGCACATTTCTTATGCAGTGGCAAAAGAGACTGCCTATATTCTCCAGCTACACTACCTTTCTTCTACTTCAACCAGAATTCTACTTTCACTCATGCATCAATTGTATCTAGCAGTAGCTCTCCCAAAAATGTTGTATGCTATGAACATATAGTTCTGCCCTCTGTTTGTGAAAATTCATAACAGACCTCAATGTGGATTGATTGGTATAGTCAACTGCTTGTACAGAGTTCAACACATTGCAGCCCTTAGCATCATAGGAGCCATGTATACAACAGTGACCAACATATTAGAAACACATGCAAAAATGCTCCCTCTCAAATACTATGCACAGAACCTATGCTACCAGGCTACCATCTGCCTGGCTGTACATCTCATCCCACCTCCTACATAGACCAGTGTGTAGGGCAGCCAGGAAGTTCATCAAACATCACATATCCTTGCTTCATTATCTATACCATGTCACTGAGCTTAACATCAGATATGTAGAGATCATCACGCATAGTAGACACTCACTAAGCTCATCAATCCCTTACCAAATTGTCATTGCCACCTTACAAGAACAAGTCATTCAAGACCACAACAACATTAATGACAAAATCAAGATCTATTGCAATGGATCTGAGATTGATAGTAATATTAGTACAGCAGCAGTACTCCTTCAAACTGGACAACTTCAGCCAAAGACCCTGAGATATCACTTGGACATGGCAGTGGCTTCATATTAGATATATCTCTCTGAATCAGCATATATTTCATATCAGAAAGAGCTTTACACTTGATTGCCTATACTGCAAATGAACAAAAGAAACTGTGCTCCATTACCTGCTTTCTTGTCTCCAATATGCTTGGACATGACATATCCTCATGAGAACCTTTGGCCATCACACTTTCTTGCTATCTCATCTGCTCTCAAATTTTTTTTGAATCCTTGTTTATTGTTCATTAGAGTGAAGCCCTATGATAAACAGTACATGTGGATATTGGTAGTTGCATATTTGTAATCATGGTATGTAACTTGTAATATTGGTCCAAGTGTGAATGAGAATGGTAATGCCTACTTAAGGTAGAAGCTTTTCATAGTGGTAACTTCCCAATATATCTATACACACCTTTCTTTTTTCTCATACAACCTGCCAGCATATTTTTTTCAAGGATAGTAAATGGTAAATCATGTGACCCCTCAACCCCCATGTGACCTCTAAACCCTTTTCACCACCTGACTAACAATAGCACTGATGTGGCCTCAGTGCAGGGGCAAAGTTGGTATTTAGATAGCTCTCAGATTAACCACTTCTGGACATGTGGGCTCTTCACTCTATATTCTACCATCAGATCCTGGTAGCAGTGGCTGCTGATTTATCCACCCATACTCATCAATGAAGGGAACAGTACTCATATAGTGGTTCAACTGGTAGCTCAGGATGGTATTAACTTAGTTAAATAGAAAGGAGTTTCACTTTTGATGCAAGATGAGATACACAGAGAATTAGTATGTCAGACCCAGATACTATAGAGGCGCCCACTCACTCACTCAGCCTACCTATATGTGCCCACAAAACAATCCTCCTACTCTCTTTTTATTTAGCATTGCACTCCATTATTTCCATGGTATCCAATCACATAGTGATTCAAGTACTTGTATCATCCTTAACACATGCCAGGTACCCTCACAAACACAAACTGTACATAGTGATGTTCTGGCTCAGCTTCAGATGGCCAAGGCTTTGAGAAATCACAAGCCAGGCCCAAGCCCTCAACAACAGCTTGGTCCTGGCCTGGCCTGGCCCAAGCCACAGCCTGAGTACATAAAAGGGTAAGTGTCATATCCCACGTTCCAGACCCGGACCTATCACACACATTATTTCCGGACTTCTGGATCCGGCCAACTTCTATCTATTGTCCAGATCCAACCTGTGTCTATCTTCCGTGCCTTATCCCTTTGTACGTTCCTTCTCCAGTTAGACTATACTCATTTTCTGTACCTCGTTTCATTTCCGCCTTTATTTTCCTATGTTCTCATCTCCGTCTTCATTTACTATTTTCCAATAGACTAGTGTTTGACTTTTCTATACACTCCGTCCACAGCCTCACATAGCTTCGGACTGTGCAGACTGATTCTCTGTTAAGTCCTCAGTAGTATATAAACCCTATAGAATCTTTGTACTTCCTCAGTTTGAATATTATCTTAGACTCTGCTCATTCCCTTCTCCGTCCGACTTGAGTTTCTCCTCTTGTCGTCCTCCGCTAGTCTTAGGATCGACTCCTATAGACTTCTCACCTCCGCCTCTACCTCTGGTAGTCCTCCACTGTTTCCTTTCTAGTTCAGACATCGTCTGGATTAGTCTTATCCCTCGTTCCTGAACGTCCGCTGGAATTCCCGCACATCAGACATCGGACTCCGGACTCATCCGACAACCTTTGGACATTGTCCAACAGCCCTCAGAAGTTAGGGGCACGTACTCGGGTAAGGAGTGCAGCACATGAGCTGAAGCCAAGCCCTTCAGATCCGACCCTTGAGCACGTTCTTAACAGTAGGTAAATGAATTCAATGATTCACAGGTAAATAAAACAAAATCAATTAATATCTACGTCATCCTCATCATCCTCCAGCAGCGAGACATCCTAACCATCTTTGCCATTACCTTTACTCATTATGCTACCATGAGCATCCAGTTCAACATCAACCTTGTCAGCTTCTTCAGTGGATGATGATGGACTGGGCAAGTGGAAAAGGAGGTCATGATGGATGGCGCACTTGACACATTGCAGTACCTCAACAATGTTGCATTTGAGGCAATTATGAGGCTTGCTAATAGTGATACCCCCCTGGGAGAATGCACATTCATTTGAAATGGATGTTGCCATAGTAGAGAGATAATCTTGAGTGATGGAGGACCATACTGGTCGATATCTGTATGTGTTCATCTACCAAAAAGTAAACATCAGTAATGAGGAATGTACTTAATATTATATATGTACTCCCCACTATTTAACTGTGCTCATTCCAGATGGTGGTTTTGCCTCGACAGTATTGAGATAGTGTCTGAAATCAATGTACCAGTGTCTAGAAGGATCAATGTTGGCTGCTGATGCACAAAAACTAAGGTTATCATCTTCATCTGAGCTCTGAGCCTTGCAAATGAGTTTCTTGAGGTCATGGGCTTTGCCTTTCTTCACAGGTAGTTGCACAGCCATCGCTGACTTTCCCATTGCAAGATAGTGAGTCTTGAACTAAGTTCCAGATTAGTAATGCAAAATGAGCAACCACATAATCAAACATACCTCTAGTTCTGCACAAGCAAGGTCCTCATCTTGCAGGTTCTCTGGCCAATGCTTCTTAAAGTACGCCATCTTACCCATCGGATTAAGTACTGTATACAAATATCAGTAACATGTAGTGATCCATGAACAGAACATCAATATGAGCCTATTTACTGCTACTAGTAGGTGTAGATATTGTGGGCTATGCCATGGAAGGCTCTAGTGATGGACCTGGGGTGGCAGCCTATGGGTTTTTGGTAGTAGACTTAGTAGCAGCCTCTGCAGCCTGGAAGTCATTGATAGCCTTTGTTTGTGATGGGAGGTCTGCCTTTTCTGAGTGCTCAAGAAGGGCAGCTGTCGGTTTTGTCCAACATATCAGACATGCTGCACGAAGCTCATTGGCATTAGTAGAGGTTGCGGTGTCTGAGCTAATCATTTGAAGGTAGTCAGTAGTAGATGGATAAGGATGCACGTACAATAAGAGGTTAGCAAGAAATATAAGTTAAAGTCTTGATGGACTGTTAGGCCTCTGAACAAATGATAGAGTAAATTGAAGGATCTATTTTGATATTGGAGTGAGAAATGTCAAAAGAAACATGGTGACTCACTCATATATCAACAGAAACATAAAGATCCACATGTCTGGAGGATGCAAAAGTACCTCAGTGATTGATTCTGACATGTGGTGATGGTGGTGCAAAGCAGAAAACAAAGGTAAAAATAAAATATGTCTGAGGTAGTACTGTACCTAGAAGCCCTGGCTTGGGCCAGCAGCTTGGGCTTTGCAAAATGATGGGCCAGGCCCAAGCCCTATGCAAGCCATGAATTTGGCTTAGCTTGGCCTGGCTCAATGAAGGCTGGCTTTGGCTGGCCTACAGCCCAAAGCCGGGCCATACATATTACTAACTGTACAGTAACAGTCCCGTGAATTGGAAGACTTGTACATCTAAAATGGCCAGCAGGAACAGCAGACTGGTGGAGGTCACTCCTCCACTAGGGCATTTGCAAGTCAGAGATGTGGTGGGGAATACAGGTGTCCCCTATTCCTAGTTAGTAATGTCCTACATATGGTACTTCACCCCAAATGAACAGAATTTTTTTTTTAAATCATAAATAGTTTTGTTATTGAAAAATTGAATTACAGCAGATGAGCATGTTTAACAACCTGGACACAATCACCCCATGATCCCTTGCTGGTGGTGATGATGTCCCAATGTCCCAATTAGTGATGTGCGGGCCCGGCTTGGCCTGAATGCCCCGGCTTAGGCCCAGCTTTGGAGGGGCTTGGGCTCAATGATGGCTTTCAAGAACAAAATGATCTAAAATTCAATCTAAGCATATTTGTAATGGTGAGCGATCAACGACATGTGCATACCAATGCCACTGCCAATTACTACATAAATCAGTACTCCAAGTCGCGCGTGAATTCACCCAGGTTGAGAAGCTCCACCACACCATTTCCAACACCACAAACACCATGCACAAATGCCCAGTGCACGTCAGCAACTGCTGACATGGCTCAAACAAGTGCAGATGACAGATGCGAGTAGGAGGAGGGAAGAAGATGAGGAGATCTCATGAAGGGTAAGTAGGCATTGAGAACATGGCAGTGTCAGGATGGTGCTCTAGGGGACTTGATCCGATCTTCTTGCTGAGATGTCAGATTATTTAAATATCGTCAACAAAAATTTGTCACGGGCGGCAGATAAACACACATATGGTTTGCATGAGACTGCACAGTGCATGAAGATTCTTGGTGTTCTCTAAGTCCTCTGCCAGCGTGAAGACAATCTTTGCAATATATGCCTGCTAAAAGCTTAGCGGTCCATCATGAGGAATTTGATGATCTGATGAGACCTCGTGCAGAATATACTCATATATTCTCTCCCTAATCAGACCCTTGCAAATATATATATCAAACAGACCTTGGTGACAAGCTTGAGGCTCTTGAATGGAAATGATGGTGCCAGCAGTGTTGTGTGGATGTTGATTCACCTGCCAGAGATGGTGGTGCATGCGCATGGCGAGGATTGCAAGAATCAAGACCTGAAAACTATGGTTAAAGGTCTAACGAGACATATGAGAAAAGTGAGGTTGCTCACAATTGGTGGGCGCACAACTCTTGGTTGGGCTGGATGAGTGGCAGTACACGTCAAATTAAGATGTCATTGAGTCCATGGAGGTCTGTAAAATTGATATCAATGAGGGACAAAAAGCTGTGGCCTGAGCCGCCAGCTCAGGCTTTTCAACACCTCAAGCTGGGCCCTGGGCTGTGGTCAGGCCCTGACTTGGGCCAGGCTTGGCTTGGCCTAATCAGGCTCAGCTTTGGCCAGCCCACGGCCTGAAGCCAGGCCGCACACATCACTAGTCCCAATGTTTTCACCAATTCCTCATCATACTAGCATAGATTTGCATTCATTCATGGATATGTATTAGCAAGTCAAATTTACTGTATAAATAGCTATATTTAGCAGAAGCAAAATTATATATGTCTGTAGTTATCATGGCTACAATATCATGAACTCATGAATTCACTGATGTAGCAGGCACGCAGTAGCCATCACAAGAACTAAGTGATGGAAAGCAAACTGACAGTTTGTCTGAATCGACTAGATTGGGCTGCCTTAAGTGAAAGCCTGGACTTAATCACAGTGCTTCATATACAAGGTGGCTAGTGGACATTAGACAATCATCGGTGGGTCTATATTTTCTAAGACAAATATTGACCCTTGTCTCACAAGATGGACCAGCTCCACAACAAATAAGGGAATAGAAGATAAATAATGCGTCAAATGAGGTACATATACAGTGAAGGGACTTGGAAAATGTAGGGACAGTGATTGTATCGTCAGATGTGAAGTTCGAACGAATGGAGAGAAGTTTGATATACAAATGATAGTAAAGCCAATGAACGAATGCAAAGTCCTCGTCAAATGAGGCACATCATACGGGTACAGTGAAGGAACTTGGAAAATGTAGGGACAGTGATTGTATCGTCAGATGCGAAGTTCGAACGAATGGAGAGAAGTTTGATATACAAATGATAGTAAAGCCAATGAACGAATGCAAGGTCCTCATCAAATGAGGTACATCATACAGGTACAGTGAAGGAACTTGGAAAATGTAGGGACAGTGATTGTATCGTCCGATGCGAAGTTCGAACGAATGGAGAGAAGCTTGATATACAAATGATAGTAAAGTCAATGAACGAATGCAAAGTCCTCGTCAAATGAGGCACATCATACGGGTACAGTGAGGGAACTTGGAAAATGTAGGGACAGTGATTGTATCGTCAGATACGAGGTTCGAACGAATGGAGAGAAGGCTGATATATAAATGATAGTAAAGCCAATGAATGAATGCAAAGTCCTTATACTGCATGCATACCCGAAGGGCGACCATCACGGTCACTTCCGCGAGAATATTGCTCTTGGTATTTGAAATAATTTGATGCTGGAGGGCTGGTATACGGGAGAGCCGGCGTACAGTCCGACTTGAGCGGGAGGCCAATGCCTCTGGCTAGGTCGATATGGCAGGGAGACGTGGAATAAGGCATTCCGATGGGGGTTTCCTTTTTCTTGTTGCGCAAATCGATGTTCGAGGACTGAGGCATGTTACTTGGTCTGATCAAATATGTCAACAGACTGGGAGGAGCTATGACAAAAAAAAATAGATACCTCGCCACCGTAATTAGTGGGTAGAGACCTGGAGATGGTCGATCTTGAACCCGGAGGACATGACGCCGAATCCATCTAAAAGTAGCACCGTACTCTTTTACTGCGTCTCGGCCGAACGCAAAGAAAAGGAAGAAGAAAACGGACGCAATCGGTATCGTGAACCAAAGAGCGAATGTCCAGGCTAATTCCGAAGGAGGGATGATGGCAAGGGGGAAATAAGCGACTTCTAGCCAGTTAGAATGCACATTCTCCCAACTAATCCAAGGACGAAGGCCTGGTCGCATGGTCCACCACATGTTGAGTATAGTCACCAGCAAGCCAAAGAACATCTCGACGATTGCCATACTCATAAGGCGAAAATAGCGACTAGGGGTGAGTGCTGAACCAGTATTTTTGAGATGCTTGGAAAATAATGCGCGACGTTTCCAGAAGTGCGAGAAGGCGGTTGCTGGGCATTTGTGAGGTCAGAATGGATAGTGCTTTGAGGCAGAAAAATATTCACCTGCGAATATGCCAGCGCCAAGAGAGAAAACCAATGGCGGAACCCAAATCAAGAAAATAGAAGCAATAGACACATAGATTGTTGGACGACAACCAAAACCTTCGACGATATCAAATCTGTGTCCCTGGACAATGTAGTCTGGGATATGTTAGTTAAGACAATGATATGAAAGGCACGAGACGCACGCAAGGCCATGTATATGAGAGGAACTCCGAAGCATAAAGCAGACTCCACTATCTGGCGACAACGCTTTTTAGAGTGCGTCAGGCTGAGGTCTCGAATGGCGGCCACACGTTCAAGATGCATGCAAAGGCTGAACATGGCAGCAGGTAGCGCTACCGTGCTGCCAACTTCAAGCTTGGTCGCTGTAGAAGGATGAGCAAAAAACAATACAGGCGGCGAGCGGCTTACTGATATCACACCATACAGGAGCAATGTTTTGAACAGTATTTCCCCAGATGATAGCATTTATACCGTAGATGATGTTGCCGACGAAGAGCCACAAACTGATGGCAATGGTTGAGATGTTACCAGCGCGCCAATGCCATGGAATGGGAACAAGTACAAGGGTGGCACAGACAAAAGCAGTTGCTGGCAATTGGACGAACATGATGTGAGGGATGCAAGGTGAATTTTTGGCGTAGAGACATACTTTTATATAAGATTGTGGTTTTCCACTTAAGGCGAACAGTGGACTGTGGGCCTGTGGAGTCTCGACATTGTGCATTCACAATGGCGATATTTGACTCCGCGAATATTATATAAGTAATACTACTGTCCGAGTTTGTCTTTGAGATCGACCACTCTTTCGATATTCGCGTGCCTGACTAATTTCCTAGTAGTACTAGTATGATAGCCTTAATTACTGATTTTTGTCTTATATGGTCTTCTCTGCAGACTGAAGATCGTGGTTCTAACTGTCATCGATATCATTCTTACGTATACAGACGTCATAGCTATCATTCAATGCTCTTACCTTCATACTGCTGTCATTTGACACCACGTTACGATACCCCAAACCTCATCATGATTCTTGATGCATCTCAAACGTAACCCAATTCGAGGTCTGTTCACTCTCAAATATGACAGAAATACATATAAAAACCGAAAGTCTTTGGCGTGGGGGCTCGAAATTTGACCCTCACACCCGTTGCAAGCAAGTCACGACTGTCGGAAAATGTGATCGTGTTGTTGCATAGTCAAGGACAGCATATAATTGTCATATTGAATGTATATACGCGTAACGTAGTATGTCTGGACGAATACCCAACAGATGTACATGACTAGACTCGTGACTAGTTCTCACTATGCGGCCCGCTTGCTTCGTAGCAAGGACTCGTCACGAGTCTAGTACATGACATAACTTAGAGGATGAATTGGAATCTCACCCACAGCTATTTGGTACATGTAAAGTGACCGTGATGATTAAGGAGTGTAAATGACTACGAAATGAGTCGAGTCGTCTGTATGTATGTCAACATACGTGCAAGACGGATAAAAAGTGCCAGGACTTGTGAAAAGTCGACGAAGATAAGAGGGAATGTTGGGTGCAGACAAAGGAAGCCACGAGAGAAGATCGAAATTGGGATAATAGTGGCCACGAAGCAGTGTCTGTGAACGAAGGACAAACGAAGCAAATAAAGCAAAGCCTCGAAAAGTAAATAGACAGATCCCATTCGTCTCTTGCGAACGAAGCATGACTTAAAGTCATAAGCTGTACGTCGATTCTGTCAGCCTGATGAACGAGTGAAAATGAAGGCGAGCGTACATCGCAGATAGTTTTCGAAACAGTAACAGGCGCCGATACCTGCGACACATGCTTCATGCAATGGTACAATAGAAGCTAGAGTTGCTGCTTGCGTAGGCGTGTTCGAATTCCAAAGGAACTGATTCAGCGGGATGGGAGGTGAGAGATTCAGGAAAGGATAAGGACTCGAGAACGTCGAATGAGTCTGTTACCGGGTTTGATGGTAGACCCGATGGCGGGATTGTCTGTGAGCGCATAAATGGGTGGCGCGAGAAGGCTTGCAAGGCCAACGTCGATATTAATGTCGGTGAGGTGGCGCTGAGTAGCGCGATAGAGGTTACTGGCCTGGGTGCTAGGCGCAATGTTATTACAAAGGACAGAAAATTGGCAGTCATGGTAACCAAGCTTTGTCTTCCTTTATACCATGTTGAGAACAATGATATTTATTCTGCATTAACCGGCATCCATTGTGGAGTAGAAGATGTCGCGGGAGTAACAAACAATGAGCGTACTGTGGTCACTTGTGGTCAGCTCAGCGGCTGGGTATGAGAATTACCATAGTCGGTCATCAATTTGCAATCCGTTGAACTCTTGCTTGTTCGCCCTTTAATATGATGAGCTCATAGACGTTCTTAGTGTCTCCTTTGGTGGGATATTGTCATCACACCTTTTACTCACACGAGTTTCGCCAGTTGCGTTCCTCGCAGTTATGTTGCTGCTGCTGCTCCCTCGAGCTGCTATGGCATTGACGAACCCAAAATATCGTAACTCTCCTTGTCATGGCATTACTTTTCTAAAGTTGTCCTGAATGTTGTGCACGATATCGATGTTACTGTGTTTGGCTAACAATGTGAACATTGCCATCTTGGTGTGGTGCAATATCAGTGAGTTCAATCTCGAAATGGCCTTGCGGCTGATGACCCTCGAACCAGCAGCGCCATTGCAGGGTCTGCATTGGCACTCACTCAAGTGTATCAGTCCAATTCGATAGATTACTGCGTAGCACGACCAACGCAACCGCCAGCTCTTCGAACTATCAATACACCTTGGAGTCTTGGACTATGGTTTTCATGGGACTTTGTATGGGCAGTATTATGAAACGTAATGCTATGCCTGCTACATTTTCCATGGTCCCTTCGCGATCCCCTGGACTATCGTTACGGTCCTATATGTTCACATTGGTGCTACATCGTCCCTCATAGGCACCCCTCAACGTTAACCTTGTGGTTCTCTTGCAAATTTTCTGGATTTCTATTTCGTATTCATCATTAACATTTTCCTTGAAAAGAATGCCTATGAGCGACAATATAACAATATGAATGGGACCGCACGAAAGCGGACGGATCACACTGCTTCGATTAGATACAATCGATTTCAAGGCGCTCAGTGAGAGAGGAGCAATCTCAACATATTCATGTCCGGAGAGTGGTAGAGTAATGTGTTATGCAATGATGGAGTGCTATCCTGTACTAGTAGGTACCTGCGCTTGCTGCACCAGACAATCGGATCAAATGATAAGTCCGTCTCCTCGAGAGACTGTTGAACAGACGATGTCAATCATCTGGTTAGTTGGCAGGAGAAGCGATAATTCGCTTAGTTGTACTGCATCTTCCTTTTGTCGATGGATAATATTTATTCGTCTGCTGTGATTTGAGACGCTGCATTCAGCAGCTGAGTGTGCAAATCCGAGCGGTGTTTCAAATTGTTACTTACATTGAGCGCGACCTTTCAAGCCAACAATGTGATCCATTGTCCCTAATGTCCGGCTACCGGAGTGATCCACAACTGAACCACAACTGATGCTCTATTTAAACCGGTCCTATTTTCCATGTGCGTTCAATCAACACCCACCATATTATACATTACGTTAAGAATATACCCAACTTTGTACGCTCTTTGACTCGGAGCGTTGCGACACTCAATTGCTAGCCTATACACCTCCATTGCGAATCCGATACTCAGTCCCACTCACACTCATCACCCTTCGTTTAGCACTTGGCACCCTTCAACTCGCATTCACTGCCTTCCACTTCACATACCTCCGAGTTCTCCTACCTTGCTCTCACTACCTGCTCGTCTACCATGGACTCATTCGTCACGATTCTGGACATATCTGAGCTCTTCGATCCAGATCCGCTACTATTCACAGATGAGGGTTATTGTAGTGGTGACGAGTCCAGTCACTCCAGTGATGATGAACAATGTTTAGTTAACACAGATGCAAAATGGACTTATACAGGATATTGCGTCATAATATAACTGGCGATGCCATCTGTCGCGTCCATCGTAAAGTAAGTGACGGTCTCTATTGTCTGATCATTGATTCACCTTCTTTCCATAGACATCATCTGGGTTACGATATTGAAGCATGTTGGCTTAAGGCTGGCCAAGCAAGGCGACGCCGCAACGGCCAGCTTAACTATTACGCGGTGCGAGTGAAAATCTCGTACCCCGAATGGGCCGACTCAGTAGGGCCGACTACGTCAGTTGCTTGAAGTCTTCTGAAGCCATAAGGTTTCACCTCAAAGATCAACAAAAAAAAGTTGCGCAGTCGTGACGAGAAACTTCTGTCTCATCTGGTGGACACAAATGTTCGAACTTTCGGTTCTTTCGATTTCATTTTGGCCACTTTTCTTTTTCCCACTTGTGGGTTTTTCTCTCGAACTATACTGTACCACATAGTATATCGAAGATGCAGCAATGTATTTCCTTGCGGCTGTAGAATCAGCGCACACCCATGCGATTTGAACTTTGAAGTAATCAGAATTACATAAATGCAAATTCAATGACATTCTTGATTATATAATCCCATAGGCCCCACAAACACCACCCCCCGCTCACTCACTCGCGGCGCACCACCGCGACCGTACCACTTCTCTTGCGTTCGGCATCAGGCGACGACAAACTCATCTGCATATCTCACGGCTGGGACGTTTCATTTTCTCTGGCGCGATCAAGCTTATTGCCTAACTTCAGTCACGAAACCATGGACCACTATCCGGAGGTCAAACGATCATTTCTTGACACAAGAGTTTTATCTTCCCCGCTTGATCAGGAGTCAGAGAGTGAGTCTAGTCAGGTCTCCGGCTCCGACACGCCCTCTCCATCGATTAGAACTTCTGCCCGATTCCCTTCGGCCACTCCTCCGCATGAGGAGAATGGGAGCTCGGAAAGGTCCTCAGGTGTTGAACCCGAGAGTAGTAAGGGGTGGTATGAATTTGACCTTTCGGTCATACTTGCGCTAGTTTCGCCCATCGGAAATTGGTTGACAGGAGGAGATCACGTCAAGAATTTCCTTCTCATACTTCTCTTGATATTCTATTTGCACCAAATTATCGAAGGTAAGTGTCTTGTTTTCATTCTGAAACAGAAAATATAAGTAAGTATACACAGTACCGTGGAGCCTCTATCATCTCTCGAGACCCAGACGTCGTTCCCCTGATGTCCCACCCCGTCAAACGTCTGAGCAAGATCCATATCATGAAGTTGCTTCATCAGAGTTACGCAAGCTCGAATTTTTCTACCTGTTCCTCACTGTATTATCGCCGTTAATCGGAGTCGTAATCCTTCGTATCGTCATCATATCTGTGGCCGGTCCGGAGACTATATCATGGTTCAGTACCTCCCTCTTCATTCTCGCCACCGGTATTCGACCTTGGAAACACGCGGTAGAACGTCTCCATCAACGCACACAAGATTTACATACTGTCGTTCATTACCCTCCAGCCAGCTCACCAGACACGCACTCGCAGATTGAAGTTCTGAATTGCGCGCGTCACCGAATTAGAGACTCAGCTGAATAAATGCAATGACACCGTGAAAGTTCTCACTGAAGACGTTTTTGACCACGTGGAGGGAGCCGTCGAGGGGATAGAGAAATCCTTACGGAAACAGGAGAGGAAGAATGATGCTGTCTACTCGGCGCAAGAATCAAGAATCGCGACGCTTGGAACAGAACATGCAAGCCTTACTGGAAAGGAAGGAGATTTCAGTGCACGGTTCGGCTTTATCTTATAATCTTGCTTCTGCATTCCACACAACCTTGGTTGAACCACTTGGACTTGTCTTTCCTGAGTGGGCACGCAGCTCTCGCCGAGACAAACACCCACCATCTCCTCGTCCTTCCCCAAAAATCGGTCGTTCCCGTACTGCCACTAAGCTTGAGACGATACCAGAAGGCGCCACTTTCACACCCAAGGGAGCTCCATACCGCTTTCCCTACCTCCGTATTCCTGGTTTAAAATTCGCCCTGCGCATCGGTGATCTTGCAACCCTACCCTGTCCGTCGGGTAGTGGGGTATCTTCTCATGGGACGCATCTATGCGCCCAACGCGCCCAATTCCTCTCTTTAAACAGTGTTACCGCTCAAGCTTCAAGGTTCATTTCTCACGACCATTGTTCTATTAGCATTGCATAGGACTTGTTCCCACGTCTCCTCGCATTTTATCCCCGCATTGGCATGCCGATGATGATCCGTTTTGCCTCATAATTATTATAGTATCCAGGAATAACCGTATTGTACGCTCGTGCGTCGAATTTTGTATCAATATTCCATTGTAAGCAGACTTTTGTCGTATCTCCCATGAAGTTTAGGCTGCTCTATAATTTACCACAGACGTCTGTACCAGGTGAGATTCATTTTCTTATTCTTCTATACCGTTACCTGTACAGCTTCCTTCGTACAAAAATCACACGGTCTTCTAAGCCTAAAGCTTTAGAACATGCCTTATTGGGGCATTTGCTTGATGCTTACTGATTGTAATTATCCCCTATCATGTGGGTGTTCTTCGATCAAGTATGCCATGGTATGTGTCCTTGTACTTTCTTCGGCCGAGAGCTTATCAAATCTAGAAAAGTCAAGTATACAGATTTTGTGGCATCGCGTCCTTGTACTTAATTCCATACTGCTGTCAAAGGCGCAGCTCAGTGATTAAAAGAAATGCAGGAGGCCTTCACAGAGATCTGCATGCCCTTTTTGTCTCCCCAGATTTCTTTCATTATTGAAATGCAAACAGAGATACCAGTACTTTCGTTCATTTCCGCAGCACTGGTTCTCTTTCCATTGCCTTGGTATTGTCGGGCTGGCAACATCGCTGCAATGTCTATTGGAACTTGGCTCTTTGTTGTAAACACGATCAATGCTATAGATGCCCTCCAATGGACTGGGGCCTACCAAATACCATTCTTATTCTGGTGTGACATCAGTGAGTGTTTTGATATCGATTCTATACTAGAACTCACAATTTCTGTAGCTTCAGCGCTGGTAACAGCCTGTAAATGTAGCGATACCCGCAGCGTGCCTCTGCATTTGTATTCACCTGGAACGGATGGCGTCTTTCTGTCAAACGCCCGCCTCTGTAACAAAGCGACGCCGTATCTTACTTGAATGTTTAATGTGTTTCGGAGTTCCATTAGTATATGCAGCATTGCGTGCGTACCTGCTACGGGCTTCCCCCACGACGTTTATTGATATTATCAATAGATATAATTGTTCAACCTCGACGTTTTGATGTGTATGAAAATTTTGGATGTCGCTCGGCGATATATCCCACTGCGGTGGCTTTGTTCGTGGTCTGGATACCGCCGCTTGTACTTTCTCTTCTTACTATAATCTTTTGTGGCAAGTCACTTCATGGTTTGTATCCTTACGAGGCTGAGTTTTGCTAGGCATTACTTGGCGTCACTTTCTCCTTCATGGCGTTCAATTTTCGAGGACACGTCCATCTTCCTCGCTTACTTCCGGAGCCTACATTCGGCTCGTCAGTATGGCCGTTTCAGAAGTCATCTGCACTATTGCCGCGACCGTAGTAGCCATGTCATTTAATCTAAGCTCAGGGCTGGCTCCATGGGCGGACTTCACCCGAGATTTGACGGAGGTCTCGTCGTTCAGCTCCGCTGCGAACACCTAAATCAATCACCGCGATGCTCATCACTGAATGGGCGATCATTGTCGCAGCAATCGTTCTTCTTTATCGGATTGTTTTTACTTGGAGGGGAGGGGCGCAGTCGATTGCGTGAGGCTGTACAGGTGATGCGCAAGGCTCTCAGCTTTTTTGAGAGACGATCTACCTGTATTGCTGAACTCAAAGGTACATCTGTAGCAGAATGGTATGTTCCTTTGTATCAGCTAGCAGATTTCTCCTGAATGCATCTCATTAGCGACTTGACACCAGTTCCGTCTCTGACTGTCCCCGAGTTCAAGACTACTACCTCTCAATCTAGTACAGCATACACTTATCAGTGGGTATCCATGTGATAAACCTCTTCCGCCTTCGCCTGCCCCCTCGCGGCCCCCATCACTCGACCTTACAGATGCGAAACGATTGGAAAGAAGTCTGAATTTCTTGATCCCGCGCTCCTCCCTCTAGATTCACCCTCCAACTACTCTACTGTCTCATCGTCACACAATTCTCTCCAATCAAATTTTGACCCGCAACAACTTTTTTTACCTTCGACGCAGTGGCCTGAACCCCCATCGACAGTCATTGTTCGACCACGCCCAGCGAGGCCCCACAGCATGAACTTTCTTCACATCGAAGCTTTGCCGTTTTATGGGTGCGCAGTGCCACACAATTACTCGAGGGATCCGAAGAATCGTAACGCTGTCTATATGACAGTGGTCAGGGAAGTCCAAGGAGCATATTGAGCTGTTTATTTTCTTTTCTCGTATATCCCTTCCATCGTCCTTCGCGGTCATTGACCTCGTGTCGGACAGAATATGTCGTTGACTTTTTGCTTGCATGTTCCCGAGTCCTGAAGCATGTGTTGTTCTTTTCTTCGCCTTCAAATATTTGTATGACTTTCTCTGTTGTGTTGATGTGCTTCAGGTTTACTAACAGTCTGTATCAATAACCAACGTGTATTGCATGTTTTTTCCGGAATGTTGACTAGCCGTTTTTTTCTTACATATCTATTATCCCGGCGAGGTCATTGCCCCTATGTCGGGCAGTATCAGACGCAATATGTTGCCGACTTTTTATGAAGTATTTGTCGTTACTTTCCCTGCTTTCAATTGTATGGATTCTTTGTTGTGATGTACCTTAGGTCTTAGTAACTTGAATCAGGGCCCGTTTCAATGTAACCAACGCGGTGCAGCGTGCTTATGACAGCTTTGTCATCGAAATATCAAAGATTTTAAACTAAGTATCCATTTTCAAGTAACGCCGGGATGCTGACCAGTCGTCATAGTAAACTGTCTTCATTCGTCCACATAGCAATATGGACCATGAACGTTTGAACCTGCATAGGGGAAGCATGGCTGATCGGGAAACGCAGAAAACATACTGAGAAAGGCAATTCTCCGAGTCTCTCGATTACGGCAACTACCGCTCTTATTGTCCAGTCGCTTTTAGATTATCGCTATTGTTTCAGAGACTCTCTTATAGCAGTTCATGAGGGCCGTCGTCGAGGAATCCTTTTGCTTGCGAACCCACACCATCCGTGCTGTATAATTGCTATCAGTCCTTGAAGTTGCTGCGGCGGGCTTGATTGTCCGAAGTTCAGTGCAACTCAACCCTACTCCTTGGTAACACTTTGTATTCTACATTTCAGATGTAGAATGGCAAAGTTCCCGCAAAGTTCAAGCCTCACGGTACCACTTATTTTTGAATGAGAACAAGGATGTCGAAGTGAGTGCAGAATTCGCCAGTGGATCCGAATATCATTGACCAGTCCTAGATTTTAAATTTAATCGATAATCCCTTACAGTCAGATGTATGTAAGTGCTAAGTGGACCACGACTTGCCCCATGTGTATCAACTTCCATTCCGGGACGCTCTGACTATGTTATTGGACGATTTTCTTGAATGCAGGAATTTTCTGATATCTGATGATCATGGGACGTCGGATCATGTGGCCGCGGTGTGTCATCGAAGCCCTTCGGTGCGCCATTTGGGCGCACTTCCCTCGCGCTTCCTCGCTTTACCATTTTGGTAAACAAACATACGTCCATATATAGACATCAGTTTGTGGGTAAAAAAGGCAATGCCGATATTTGCAAAGTGTTCAAAGTTTGAACAAATTTTATTACACCCGGACACAATGGGATGTCCAAATTAGACGACAAGGTGGATTGTGCTCTCGAAGGCTTTAATAGCATTGGCTTCCCAAGGCTATGAGTACTAGCTTCACGTTCCCTCTGCTCAGCCCCATCACAGGATAGCTAGTCTTCCGAGCAAAGTCGCCCCTGTCTTCACGTCGCGCGTCAGCAACTGCGTTGTTAAGATGTTCAATTCACCAGACTGGGTGTTCTCTATGTTTGCTTTCCTGGGTTTCTTGTGCTGCATGATTCCGCTTCCCTGGCATTTGGAAGGTCGGTTTATCTTACACTATCTTTGAGGCGTCCAAGATCTGACCAATACTTTAGCATGGAACACTGGAACTTGTCTTTACATGACCTGGACCGGCCTATCGTGTCTAATCCAGTTCATTAACTCCATCGTTTGGAGGTAGAATGTGATTAACTGGGCTCCCGTGTGGTGTGATATCTGTCAGAATTTTCCTCCTTGTTCTTGTTGCCAAGACTCAATGTTTATTTCGTAGCTGCGAAATTCATAATCGGGAGCTCCGTTGCTATCCCCGCCTGTTCGCTTTGCATCAACCGTCGTCTCTACCACATCGCATCAGTCTCCTCGGTCACAAAGACAAGGGCGCAGAAGAGACGCGACATCATGACCGATCTGGCTATTGGTGCTGGTATCCCCATCTTGGAGATGATTCTGCGTACGTCCGTTTGTCGAATGAAATCAGACTGTGGTTGACGTGATACCCCAGAGTTTATCGTACAAGGACATCGGTTCAATATTTTTGAGGAAATTGGCTGTTATCCCGCCACTTTTAACACCCCTCCTGCATTTGTATTGGTATTCGCATGGCCCTTGGTCCTTGGATGCATCTCTGCTTACTATTGTGGTACGTTTATTCTGATATTTGCTTAGCCCGACGTTGATCATTTTGTAATGCAGTCCGCACTATTGTCGAACTAGCTCAGCGTAGGGCCCAGTTCATGGAGTTCCTTTCTGTGAACAAGAACCTGAGTTCCAGTCGTTACTTCCGCCTCATGGGTCTTGCTGGTATTGAGATGTTATGCACGGTTCCTATGGGTGCCTATGTCATCTACCTCAATGCTACTGCCCAGCCAGTCTACCCCTGGATCAGCTGGGCCAATGCGCACTACGACTTCTCTCGCGTCGAACAGATTCCATCAGTATTATGGCGCCTGAACGATTCTCTCGTGTTGTCGCTCGAGCTCAGCCGATGGCTCCTCATTGTCTGCGCATTCGTATTCTTTGGTTTCTTCGGGTTCGCCGATGAGGCCAGGAAGAACTACCGCCTCGCCTACGTTTCAGTTGCGAAGCGCGTGGGTCTTTCGACCGCTGGTACTGTGTCGCAAGGGTCTTGGACTGTTGGGTATGTTGTCACAGTTTAACACTCAATCATGCGATCTGACCAGCGCATGTTCATTTCAGTGGAAAATCGGAGATGGCGTACAACAGCCGCACCGGCACTTTGCCCGTGTTTGTCGTTCAACGTACCGAAAAGAAGCGCGATTCCGTTAATTCATTCTCCACCAGCATTTCCATTGGCGAGTTTAACATGACATTCGATGATGTCAAGGAGGTTCCGTACATACCAACAGAAACCGCCGCGGGTTCGGTATCAAAGGAGTCGCTCCCGACCACACCTGTCGATGGTGAGACAGTTCCACTACCAGACGGACCTGCTCTTGCAGGCCCCGCGCTTGACATCAATTCAGTTCCCCGGCTTGTCGCCGACTCACCTGAATCGGCGCGCAATTCAATAGATATCATATGATTCATATTCACACAACAGATCGGCTTTCTTACGTTGTCCTATCATTCATTGTATCATCGTTTCATTGTATTGTTAGCTTTCCGGAATCTGGACGTAACCACTCGGTTATTATCGGTTTGATACCCACTACTATCAAGTACCTTATGAATATTTGTACGGATTGGGACAGATTTAGACGATGTAGCATTCTTCATAGTCGAATCAAACATTTTCAAACGAGGCGAGGACTCCGTGAGTACGTACGCTGGGATTTCATACCCGACGGCGATCAAAACAATCGCCCACACATCGTCAACACAGGATGGAGATACGGTTTGATTTGCAGGGTGTTGCCTAGGCCTGACTATGTAGCAGTGCACTTCGTCAACGCCTCGTGCGCAGTCCTCTTGGCGTGATGATCGATAATTTATTAGTTCTCTTGTTGTGCCATCTAAGGGATCCAGAAGGCTTCTTCGATCCGGTTCGTCTTGGTTCATCTGATGAATCCTTTGTGTGCTGGTTTGGACGAGGCTTATTGGAAATGGTTTCTGGTGACAGCGTGAGTGTGGTGAACATGCGACCAGGCCCAACTTTGTGATTCCCGACTAGGGTCATGAGTTCTGATAAAGGCGTCACAGTGATACGTGGGAAGTGCCAGAAAGTAGGCCGTCGTGCTCAGTTAGTGTTACGGGCACATGAGGTGTGGAATGGGAATGGGAGTTGTACTTGCAGGTGAAGAACGAGTGTTTACCCTTGTTTTCAATACAGCGGAGACATCGTGGAAAGACACGTGGAGACTTCACGACTCGATGTGCCCCCAAGTGACAGTATCGAGGCTATGTAACTTGTGTCTTTATCCCTTGGTTCAGTGACAGTATGGTTGCGGCCAAGATCTGCCTCCTTGTCTGTGCCACAGGAGCGCAGTATTATGCCATAACACCCCCAACTACTAGACCTTCTGCAAAGGAACGTTTGAATCCCACCGGTTTGGAAGTCATCATCCCTTGGATACACACTTTAGTGAAGGTACTTTCCTGAGCGAATTCCAGAATATATTGCCAATGTTTAACTGAACGTTTACCCCCCAAGAGCATCATCGGCGTTTGCGCTTTGTCAGACATCGTCCTTGCATATGCAACAAGTAAGGAATCGACCGCCATCCCGCAATCGCTCGCTGCCCTTCTAGTCCGCAGTGACTTGTGTTCGCTATCGAGCTCGGACCATACAATACCGTCGACCGCACTTGTAGCTGGGTGTTGTCTGAGCGTCATCGGCAGCGCCATTCGTTTCCAGTGCTATTCCACGCTAGGCAAGTTCTTCACTTTCGAACTCAGTATCCGCCAGGATCACAAGCTGGTCACGTCTGGCCCTTATTCCATCGTTCGACACCCCAGCTACACCGGTGGACTGTGTGTTTTTCTGGGCGTCTTGCTTTGTCATTTTCACACTCTGTCATGGATGGTTTCTTGTTCGGGCGTGTTTCCTTCGTCAGACCAGGGGGTCAGGTTGACTTTGGGATGCATGTGGACAGGTCTGCTTGGTTTGCTTTATTCTGGACTGCGCGGGCGAATTCAGAAGGAGGAGGCGATGTTGCAGGGAAAATTCGGAGACCAGTGGAAAAGTTATATGAATAGCGTGCCTTATAGACTAGTTCCATGGTTGTTCTAGATCACGGTCATCTATTTAAGACACTATCAAAGCATTAAAATACAACAAGAGCAACTTCTTTATTACTGGATTGTGAGGAGATGATGAAAGGAGAAATGGAATCTTGACCAGACGCTCCGCGAGGCAAGAAATAATCATCAGGGATACGGGATATGTAGATGTGTCAGTAATTGTGAGTGAGAATGGAAGAAGACAAGACACGCTACTAAAAGGGTGTAGTGCGCGCAATGAATAGCTGAGGGTCAACATCACATCAACCCGTCGGCTTTGCCTTCATCAGGTGTAGCTGCAATCCACCCTCCACATACTGATTCAGACGTTCCCTCAGCTCAATAATTGTTTTGTCTCGTGAATCCTGCCCATAGTCAAATGCTGCGATTTGCAGACAAAATCCTCCCAGCTTCGGACTAGCACTGCACCTCGACCTTACAAGCTCTGTCACCCCGTCCGTGGAAACACGCTTTGAGCATTTGAGACTCAATGATTGGAGTCGAGGACAGATGGAGGTGCCTTGAGGCGCTCCGGATAAAATGAGGCTGTCCACGAGGTTGTGATTGAGTTGAAGAGGGCCAGGTAGGAAACGTAGGTGTTTCAAGTGATGAAGCTGGGAGAGGCACGAGAGCATGTCGATATCTGGAATGTTGATTGTGTCAAAGGATAGGTTCTCGAGAGTCTCTGCACTTCGGGAGATAAAGGGAAGGGGTTCCGTCTGGCTGGCGAACGAACCCATAGAAAGACTGACGTTCTGAAATTCAAATGTGTGTAGTTTTGGTGCATGGAGCGCATCGAAGAACTGGCGAGTGTAGAGCGTTTGGCAGAAGAGGCGTACTTTCATTGATTCGAGGTTTGGAAGTGTGACAGGTACAATCGCCTCTGTATCAGCGTCGAGTATTGTCATTCCTATTCCGATAGAGCAGCATTTGAGATTAGGACATTCACGAAGTACATTGAGGTAGTCGTTGTGGACGGGATTCCAGTAGGGGCTGGCGTCATACTGAAGAGACAACTGTGTCAGTTTGCTCCAAGGGACGCAGAACTGGGCGGTGTCGAGACTACCCCACGCAATCGAGAGGCTGCGGAGGTTGGGTGCATCATGAAGAAACAATGGAGGTGGGTTGTCGCTACTACTAGGAAGGGGGTTGCTGTTATGAAGCTCAAGGCGCCGTAGGTGTGGGAGTGAACTTTGGGTGAATGTCAACAAGGAGCTGAGTGCCAATGGAGAGAATCTGAGAGAAAGCTCTTCAATGCGGCATCCGAGAGTCAAAATCTCCTTGTCAAGTGACATAAGAGCACCCGGTGTGATCGGAGAGCTGCTTGGATGCTGGAGGATTAAGGAAATTGGAAGAGCTTTCGCGCGCGATATCCACACGTGCATGGACATGATTCTCGACTGCATGACGTTCTCCCAATTTGGCGTTGCGGATGGAAACCCAACCTTGAGTCTCCTCCACAAACAAGGTAGGGAGAACATGAGGTCTCTCCAAGCGCCGCAAACTTGACACAATAACAAGGGAGCCCGAAGAGGATCAGGCTCCTGGCTTTCTTCGTCCTGAACGCATTGTTCGAAGACTTTTGTCATGATCTCTATCGGCATGCGGCGGACGGGGGACCTTAGCGCTTCCAATTTTTGGACCACTTCCATAGTTCCAAGATGTTTAGCCTCGAGGCGCAAAACCTCTGCACGAGCGCGATCTAGTTCCTTCTTAATGAGCTCAAGTTCAAGCTTCTGTTCTGCGAGGAGGCGGCTAATACGCTGCGTATCCATTGGAGAGGGAACACAGTTCGTCTGGAAAAGTCGTACGATGGATGTCTGGAGGAAGTAGTTGAGTCAAGTTCATATGTGCCATAGATCCGTGCCACATACCGGTATTTTTGGATCCATGGCAGCAGAGAGAGAAAAGCCTTGATGGTGTTTTAGGCTGTTGGCTGAGACAGTTTTGCGCTATCGCAGTCCCGTTTTTTGAAGGAGTCGCTGTTTGAGGGGGAGAAGAAAAGAAATGCACGAGGCTCATGGGGCACTTTGCAATGCGGCTTTCCATCTAGGTGCAATTCGCCTCCACCTTTACGTGTTAAACCCTTGCATGGGATAACTTCGAAGATCTCTTGTCATTGGCTCCTTGTCGTACCCACTCCATGCCAAGAGGATGGGTTTTTGAAGGACAGCTCGCGCGCATGACCCAGGCTTGCATTTGAATATACATGGCGCCCCCAGCCTAACACCTCAACCGGTCATTGGTCAATCTTGGCACGTCACATCATAGGTGCCGTTGTGAAGTATTTGGTGATGTTATTTCTGAAGGCTCTTGCCAAACAAGATGAACCTACCTGGATAATTCTACACTTGCTAGCAGGAAGTGATTTACAATGTGAATCACTTTGTGAGGCACGAAGAATCGCTCCCTGATTTCTGTGAATTCATTGTGTCAGAAAAAACGAACAAGAAGGGTCATTATAATGCTGCCGGATTACAAGTTTAGTTCTTCAAGGTACCTTACAAGCGAGATATTTATATACCGCAAGAAACAAGGGAAGCTGTGCACAAGATGACGCTGTATGAGCTGCCCTTAGACTGTGGGGTAGTATGCGAGACAAGGGAAGTCGATAAAATCTGTTTTAGCGCCTTGCAAGATCTTGCATGTACTACAAAGCATCGAAAGACTACAGATTTGATGCCGCGGCAGGCTACGTTCAACGTAAGATTAATTATCGTGATGGTATCGTAAGGCTAGAGCCTTTTTTCGACATGCATTAGGCACTATAAATAGGTTCAGCACACAAGTTTAATTCAGGCTTATTCAATACATCCACGCGCTGGAGAGTCATATGTCTGCCAGGCACGATGTTCCACTTTTGACGTTGTTCACTACGCAACGATGCTCTATAAACATCGATCGACGGGATTTCGGGCGCTTCATAATTGGGAAAAGTCTTGACTACATCTGCTCGTACCGTAGTGTGAATCCTTTGCAGCTTTATACAACTATCTTCACGATTACTACATCAAAACAAGGTTTACAGTAACGTGCATCTTCTGCTGAGAGACATATTCGTAAGACTGACAACGTGAGAACAGTTTAGGAGCACTCACAGCTAACATCACAGATCAAACCAGAGTGGTACAACTACCTATCGGATGAAGCGCTTCACCTTGTCGAGGACTGGATGGTGTGATCAATAATCGCGACCTGGTAATTAACATAGGTGAGACGGACCAGTTTCATATGCAACCTCCGTCGGGTCCGTTCCCTGAATCTCTACACTAATCCCCTGTAGCGACCTCCGCAGTGCATCCTTTGAGGATGCGTGGACCATCTTTGCCCGAATGGGTGCATTGTCTGGTGACCTGTGGTTACGAGTTAAGCACATAAAGTAGTTAAACGGGTGCCTCAAAATAATGAATCATCGGCCAGATGAACTGCGGACCTACCAGGAGAAGAAGCAGAGCTTGTTCCTCTGCGACCCATCTTCCAACGTATAGTGGAAGTCGTAGACGGCCCATTTGCAACCATCGGCAGGCAAGTGGTCCAGAAATTCTTCGTAGTTAGAACTTTCCGAAGTCTTATCGACGACGATCTCCGTCCGGGTATCGTTCAATTTGAACAAAATGTACTTCAGCGTTTTGGACATCTTCAGTTGTTCAAATCTCTGGAGGCATTCGGCAGCTGGTGTCACACCGGAAGACTATCGAGAGCCTATCAGGATAAGCCCTGTTATTGCGTGTGTCGCTCACCATATTGAATAAGATAATGAGAGAGAGATGCAGTATGCTGGAAACAATCGCGATCAAGATAAGTGCGGTGTGGATACTGGAACGGCAGTTGCCAGCTCCGATCTAACAATCACATCACGTGACACTGCGCTCGCGGACCGCAGTCATGGCAGTCAAGCTGCAGCGCAGGTTGCGCAGCCAAGTACACGACGCCAGGAGGGACATGTAAGTTGGAAGAGTGCTATCTGTTATTGGTGATGGCGAGTATATATTGATGGTCAAAGTTACCGCATTTTGACACTGATTGATGTTCCACCATCACAAGTATTGGTACCAATTCACAAAACATAAGTTACTATGTATAGTTCATGCCACAGGAACTACCATTGACCTGACCTTCTTTCCAAAGGCCTGACGTACCGAAACCACGTGGGTCTGTTGACAGTGGGTACAATCTTATTATGGCTGGCACAGGCGATGTGCTGTAGATGCTTAGTCTATGAGAAGACTTTGAAATCTAAGTTTATGGAATTCCTTCCTGACCTTTAACTTTCTTTTCGTCTAGTCATCATGACTGACTCGCAATCACCATCATCTGGATCGCAGCAGTCCGTGACAAGGTGGCAAACACTGTACTATTTGACGGTGTTATTTCTGAAAGCTCTTGTCAAACATGGCCAAATTATCGCTACCACGCTTCTCCGCCTTGCGTGGCACAGAACGTACGCGTCACGCCTATTTCACCGCAACACTCGATTCTCATAAATTACAAGGACATTAACCTCAGGCCACGTTGCTTGTAGTGAGGAAACCATGCCGTCATCTACATCAGTACCAGTAGAGCTACCCAAACCGCCGAAACTGGATCTGGATAAGTTCGTTGCGACTGCCCTGTCAGCTACGCCAGCGGAACTCCATCCATTTTTTGAATCTTTCGGCAAACTCCACACGAGAAAGTAAGAGGGTGATTGATACAGTATACTCATTACTCATCGATCACACAGACTATGGCACCAACTGACGCTCAAGCTATATGAGTTTTTTGACCACCCGTTGTCACGACCCTTCCGTGTGAACGTGTTTGAGCAATTCGTGCGCGACTTTGAGTCCAAACTGAACCAACTCAAACTCGTGGAGATGGGAACTAAAGTATCGAAGGAGATCGACAGTAGGTTTGACCCCCAATTCCTAGATGATCCAACCTGACGTTCCGTTAAGACCCGCAAAGCCAGCTTCTGTTCCTCAACTCCTTACTTTCACGGATTGATGCCGAAACATCACAGGAGGCATACGTGCTGCTCCTTGCGAATATTGCATATGCAAAGCTGGTGTACGGTGATTTAGAGGGTACCAAGACGGATATGGATACTGCCTGGAAAACACTCGATCGACTGGAAGGGGTCGACACTGCCGTCAATGCTTCGTATTACAAAGTTGCCGCTGACTATTATAAGGCAAGAATTTTCGAGAATGTTGCGATTCGCCCCGTTGACTTGCCGGAAACAGGCCAAAGCAGAATATGCGCCGTATTATAAACATTCGCTGCTGTATCTGGCATGTGTCGATGTAGCAACAGATCTTACTTCAGAAGAACGTTTACTGCGCGCGCACGACCTTGGCATTTCGGCATTCCTCGGCGACACTATCTATAATTTTGGGGAGCTGGTAAGCAGATACGTGAATTTGAAACACCTACTTTCATCGGTCACAGCCTGAGGATGATCGTTGACTGACTTCATCGGTGTTAGTTGATGCACCCAATACTCGACGCGCTGGACAACACGCAGTATGATTGGATCAAGAAGCTGTTGTTCACATTCAACGAAGGCAATATTGGCAAATTCGAAGCATTGGCACCACTATTTCCGCAGGAGGTACGTGCATGTTGTTGCGGAGACTCGTACCGAGTCGAGCCGACAATCTGACAAATGAGCTCTGCCACAGCCGATTCTGGAAGAGAACTACCCCTTCCTTCGACAGAAGATATGTTTGATGGCGCTGATCGAATCAGTGTTCAAACGGAACGCGAATGACCGAACGATGTCTTTCCAGACTATCGCCGAGGAGACGCGACTTCCGGTGGACGAAGTGGAACACCTCATCATGAAAGCACTGAGGTCAGTGCATTCTTCGTTGAATTGAAATATGGGCGTTACATGTGCTGATAATCTAATTGACATCGGTACTTGCCGCTAGCCTCAAGTTGATTCGAGGTTCCTTGGACCAGGTGGATCAAAAAGCGCGTATCACGTGGGTTCAGCCTCGTGTTCTGTCGCGCGCACAAATAGGCGAGCTCGCGACACGGCTTGGAGCGTGGATAGATAAGTTGGGGAGTGTGGAGCAGAGGATGGCACCACATGTGTCTGCGGCGGCATGAGTATATTTCACCATGCCTGTAAGGTAGAAATGAGTGCCAAGGAGATTGTCCCGGAGCAAGAATGATCGATGTGACATGCTGCATACATTCATTGTATGAATTTTTAGAAGGAACACGTTTACGGTTCCGGATCAGATACGAAGGTTATAACGGTGGTTTGCGAGCACGTTGAGGCACGATGCAGATTGTTCATGACATAGAGGGAACTGATGAGTGGGATATGGAATTGATATGAGTATGTTTGAACCGTAGGGAAGGAGGGTTTAAGCCGTAGTAGGGGAAGAGGCACTGCTATCGAATGCAGGCTTCCTCATTTAGGGTGTGAAGTACTAACAGCATGCTCATTGCTGTCCAGCAACAACCTAAACTAGTTTCAAAGAATCTGTTAGTCAAATCTGGTACTTCATCCTCTCCGAATTTCTTCTGTCCTCATTGCAATCCACGACCCAACGTTTCGAACTATCTGAGCAGGCTGTACGGTACAGTGACAACGCCCGTCTATCAACGTGTCCGGTGATACCCTCACGCGAGGTCTGCCTCCTGCAATTCATATCCGATTCTACTTCTCCCGGTTTTCATTATAACTCTTCAAAAGATTATCATTTTCATCCAGGACTTGTCTTTGTCGAACATCTGCAATGTCAGAATCAGCAGACCTGACTTGTAAACCTCCAACTGCTGTCACTTTTTCTTTCACAGCCCCCTTTCCTGCAGTATCTTCTTCCATTTCCTCAGCGTCATCAACCTCTTCCGCGCTAAAGCAGAGACGCGTGTCGCTTGCGCTTCCGTCCTCCCCCAGGCTTGTACCAGCGTGGAATTTCCGTGACGACACCGGCCTCACTTCGCATGTTGCTGAAACCTCTGCACCAATGCCAGAACGTAAGGGAAAGATGCGCAAGATCGCTGGTGATGGCGACTACCGTGAATCAGTCGGCTCTTTCATAATCCAGCAGAAGAAACCACGCAAGAAATGGTCCGAAGAAGAGACCCAAATGCTCGTCGAGGGATGCAACACGGTACATACGGCTTTCAAATAATCTCTCACAATATTAATCCTGTTCCCTCAGTGGGGCGTCGGCAATTGGAAGGCCATATTGAAAGATCCGAAACTGACTTTTGACAACCGCTCGCCTGTTGACCTCAAGGACCGGTTAGTACTCCTTAATCT